TCCATCAGTGCATCTGCACTCTCCCATTTAATTTTCTTTATGCTTTTTCCAGCAGCTTTATAGCAACAGACCTCCAGTCCTGCTGTTTTATGATTGTGTGTGACTGAATCCTGCCTGTCTTTGTCCTTTGCCCTTTCTCATCGTCTGCTGTCTGTTCTGTCCTGCAGTTTTCCTCATCCTGTCTTCCTGAGACTCTTCTTCCTTCTTCATAATGAGCCTGTGCTGTAATAACACTCATGTTTATCCAGAGATCAAGCCTGCCGAGGCGAGCAGCTCCGGTAAGCTATCAGCTCTCCTTCTCCTTCCTTCTCTCTCTCTGTTTTACATTTACATAAAGCATTCAGTAAGTTGGTGCTTAGCAGTAAAATCTCTAATTAAAAAATGAAAACCAAAAAAAAATCAGTAAATGAATGATCATTAAATTATAGATTTACTATAATTATTACTGTCATTGTCATCTGGAAACATAATGTGATTTCTGCTAGTCTCTGGATGATGATTTGATAGACATTCAAGGGCCAAAAATCGTTGTGATTTGCATTTGTTTGCCAGCATGTTTGTTTGGATTTGCACTGTGTCGACGTCAGCAATAGCAGCTCAAAGAACCTGTAATGCACAAACAAGCCTGTATCGCTGTAACTCATTACAGAAATGCCACTGTCTTCCTTTCAGGGATTCACAGCTCTGAGCTTGTATGGCTGTTTTCCTCTGAAAGTGGCTTTGTCCTTGAGCATCCATATTGGACTCCAGTTATTTACCTCAGGAAGAGCGATCTCATGTCATAACGCTGTTCTCTAATGAGAACAGCCTCTGCTTTAAACAGCAGCAGAGGGTAATATAATATGTGAGGTGAAACTGTTGAAGTAGCCTTCACTGGCCTCTAAAGATACTCCCACATGCCTTGATTTGTGGTTACGGAGTTCCCTCGAGTCTTCTTTAGTTTCTTAAATACACGAGCCGAACCTTAAGGCTCTCCATGGGCTCAGATTAATGCAGCAGACCTGCGTTAGGTTATGCAGTTTTATATTTTATGGTCAAATGACATAGCATTTAAATACATACGGAAACAGATTGTTAGGCTATATAAATAAACAATTTAAAATGTGAGGTGATGGGTATAAACTGAACATTAAAGGGGTCATGAACTGTTTTTTTTTAAATGTATTATATTGTTGTCTGCGGTCAACTTATGACATTCACTTGGTTTTTACATTCAGAAACATCAAAATGAATCAGTAATAGGGTATTTTCTACCCTAGTTCTGAGCCTAGCTCAAAAACGCTCTGTTTTTATGGGCGTCTCGCATTGAAGACTTGGAAGTAAACGCCCACTGCTGTGAGTGGATAACAGTTTTGCATATTATAATGAGTTTCATCTTTTGAAAACGTCCAATGTTGTAAAATGGCAACCGGAATGATTCGCCCACCCAGAGTCCGTGTGTTGCGACACAGCACCGTTTTTTAATCTTAATCGGTCTGCAAATCCAGTCTTGTTTACAAAACAATCCTCAGTGAAATGAAGCAAACAGACAGACTATGTTTTACCCTCATCAGCTGGAATGTCATTAAAAATAAAGTTTAACCATGCATTTCTATTGGAAACCAGAGGAAGGATATGCAGCGACTGTCTTCTTCCACAACCAGGCACTGCACAATATTTTGTATTGCTCGGTAGCTCGGTCCGGTTTGTCATCACGAGGTAAGCCTACTGGTATGTTATTTAGCTATGCATGTAATGTGCGAATCAATGGGCGGGGCTAAACCGGCTAAACTGTTGAAGTAGGTGTTGATCTTCTCCTGCGGGGGTGGTGTTTTATCCTCTTTGACGTCATAGATCTCCACTTTGAGATATCCACGAGTCGTTTGCTGAGCCTGGTGTCAATAAAAGCTTTTATTGGACTAACAAGGACGTTTTCAGTTCTGAAACTTACAGGATATTCTTTTAATATGATGACCTCTTAGATGTCAAAAGCTCAAGGAAAATTTGATTTCTCAGTTCATCACCCCTTTAAGCATATAACTGTTAGTTCTGGTCCTGTAATTTGATTGGCTGAGCTGCTTTCAGTTTGTCAGTGACTCTTTCTGCGGGATACACGCATGCATGATTTATTTTGTTTTGTTCCTAACAGTTGAGCGTAAACTTCGCCCCGCAGCAGATTCAAAAGATTTCATTGGTCATGTCAATCAGTGTAGATTTCCTACACACAATGCTAAAACAATTTTTTTTTTATGGTGGGATCATTACAGTTACATCGATATGCCAGTAGGTGGCGACAAGTGACTGTCTTTATTTGCTTTTGACTCTTTCATTCAGACATACACTGATTCAGTAACAAAACTAATCTTTATGAGTGAGTCATTGAATCATTTATGCATCCTATTCATTCAACACACTTATTTACTTAGGGAACAAAACGCTACTAGTGACTTTTTCTGAAGTCTGAATGTTTTTTTTTTTTTTAATGATGGCACAGAAGCAAAAAAAAACAAAACAGACTGAGTAACTTACATTTAGACACAATATTGCCCATGTTAAATTGAACCGTTTGTAAGCAATATGAAACTCATTTAATATTAGTTTGTTTACATGTTCCTCGTGTGTACGGCTGAATCACAGTAGTCGCAACAAACACTCTCTTGTTTATGTGATGATATAGACCTCTTTTCAGTTGGTAAACACGGTGACATTTTTATGTGGGCGGAGCTTAGGTGGAGGCAGAACGATCTCTCTGGCCGCTTCACTAACGCTAGTTAGCAAGTTTTATTTGCTTGTTTCTTTAACAATGACTGGAGAAAATCAGATTTTATCTTAATGTGTAAGGTCACTCAGTGTCCAGGGCCGCAATTGTTATTTTCAAAAGTTAATTTTAACGGACAGAACCAGACTGGCCGACCCGTAGCCTTCACACGCTCACTCAATGCATGGACGATCTGACAGGATTAACATACGTCACCTCGGTTGAGTGGCCTGACTTCTACACCTTCCTTATACTGATTGTAAAGAGAAATATTCATTTTTCATCGATTCTTGCACCAAACAACACAACAAGATGACATTTAATAATAATAAAAGTAATTTAATGTGCTAGTTTGCATTGGCCGCCTCCAGTTTTCACTTTGTTTTGCCTCCAGCTAGCGCAGTGATGTAACTGTGACGTCGGCGCAAAAGGGGTCTATTGCTTCACTTCAACATTCATCACAAAGCTGCATGTTTTTCTCAGCTGCTGGTTATCAGGGCACTGTTGCCCTGGGCTTGTCTTCATATATAAAAAATAATCAGTGCTGTGATCCATTGGCATTAATTTTAACCGTCACGTAGCCTGTATTAGGAGCTATTTATGGATCCAATTATTTGTAGATGTGTTAAGTGGCCTTTCAAAGGCAAATGGGGAAAGTCAGCATCTTCTGACAGTGTAGGCACTGCTGGCTGATTCATTTTCTGGCTGGCATTTCTCTCAAACCTTGTGCTCAGTTCAGCAGAAATGGCAGGTGATATTTCTCTTCAGCTCATTAAAATATGAAATCTGTTGTGTCATCAATGCTGGTGACCCATTGCTGCACTGGAACATAAGACTGTCAAAATATCTAGTAATTCATTTTCTTCAAACGCCAAGATTCTTATGCACTGGCTCTGGATATAAACAAGCATCACATGCTAAAACACTCATTCCTCTTTCTCATAGAGTTGTTTGTGAGGTGATAACGTGTGGGACTGTATTTAGCCATGTTTGCATTAAAGGTTCTTGACTCTTCATATTCTTGTTCACTTAGTTTGAACTTATTGCTTTAAGTTTTTACCTTGAGACCTACAGTTCAACACATACACACCTACATCTTGGATGCCCTTGAGGCAAGCCAAAACATACCAAAAATTAATTTCAAAGTGAACTATCCCTTTAATGTGCACAATATACGTCACGTGACATCTTACCTGACCCTCTTTCCATTATCCAGTTCAAACATAGTGCAATCGCTCCATTCGGATAACCACATAAGGAGGTTCAACGTAATCAAACAAACATCAAAAACAAGCGTAACCGAGAACTAAACACACACTTGCAGTTCACAGACAAAAGGTTGGACCATTCAATTGCGTTCAGGTGCTCTTTATTCACCTTTTTCTGAGCCCGTTCTATTTCCCATGATTCATAGCGGGTTCAACTGCACTGTTAAAAATTTTCCCGTTAAAAAACAGTAAAGAACTGGCAGCACAGTTGCCAGCAAGTTACTGTTAAATTAACAGGTTTTTACTGTTAGTGAAATTTACAGTTCACTACCGTTTATTAAAAAACAGTAATTAACTGGCAGCACGGTTGCCAGCAAGATACTGTTAAATTAACGGTGTCTTACTGTTGGTTAAATTTACAGTTGTTACTGCTTTTGGAAATGCATAAAGCAGTTTCTACATGTTACAGCAATATCCTGAAAAAAGCATGGGCACTTATTTGTTCTTCATATTGAAATTAGTGTAAACTACACAAATATACAATATGGTATTGTGTAATGTACTGAATAATTGACAGTTAGCAAAAAGGACAACTTTTCCCCCTGTGTTTTTAAAGATTATTTTCTGAACCTTGTGATTTAATACATTTCCCTGTTGCAGTCTTGCTATAAAATACCAAAAGTGAATACATTTAAAAGTGAAATAGTGAATTAAAAATGTAACAGAAGAAAAGCAGCTTTATTGTTTCAAAACATGTCTTTTGTTTATTAAACTTCTGAAACTCTGTTGGGAAAAAAAGCATAAAGGACATAACTAAATAATAACAAAAATAACTAAAATTCAAGGTTTAGAAGTTACAACAAACATAAATAAACAAGATGTTTCCAAAATCAGAATCTGATCTATCCTGTAACTTGAACAAGTCCTTAACAAATGACTAAGTATACTGTCATTTTTTTTTTTTTTACTCTGGACACAAACAGTGAATTACCTTATTCACCTGATTTTGAGTGTGTGTGTGTGTGCGCGCGCGTATATGTGTGTGTGTGTGTGTGTGTGTGTGTGTGTGTGTGTGTGGGGTGTGAGTGTTTGTGTGTGGGTGTGTGTGTAATACTTGTATAAAGTCCCACTCAAAATCCATTAATTTTTCAAGCAGACTGGAGACACGAGGGTTCACTGTTTTGTTTTTCTGGGCGACCTTCCCCGTCCGTTTTGAAATGACTCCTCCAACCTTGGTGCCTTTTTCTGGGTTTATCCCGATGAACCGCCTGAAAAACAAACATGTTTGTTCAGAATTAGTTTACTCACAAAGAACATATAAATTTGCTATAATCTTAACTATTCTTGTTTTAAGATCACTTCCTTTAACTTTGTCAGGAAAGGATAGCTTTCTGAACAATCTTTTGGGGGTGAAGGATGTGATTTAATCTAGAATAAAGATATCTCCTATGCACACCTTATATGCTATTTTAGCAATGTTTAAAACATTTTAACAAAATCATTTGATCATCATTTAGGTGTCAAAGATGAGGCTTCCTTCCAAGGTTTTCACCAACACTTCACCACCACCAAAGCCCTGTTTATTTCCTTGACATATAGTGACTATAGTCATCTATGGCTACTCACCGTGCTTCAAATAGTTTAAAAGAAAATGTCTTTATTTGATGCTAGATTCCGTTAATTAGGGCCAAATTGTGTTGTATCAATTAAACATGCAACATTGCAACAATGAAAAATTTTATGTAAAGCTGCATTGAAATGATATGCATTATAAATAAAAGTGAAGTGAATTGAATGTATGCATCCAAGTATTTACCTTTGAATAAATTCCAGTGTGCATGCTGCCTCAGCTTGGTATTGAAGATTGAAGTTGTAAAAAGTAGAAAAAACAGCAGCAAGCCCAGACAGAAAACCGTCTGGATGCCCTCACAAATAATATGACCCTCAAGGCTGATCATCCAGTGCTGAATACAGTTTCCTGGTGTTTCACCTGAAACTTTAAAATGAAAAACTGTCAGCATCGGCATAAAAACATGAATCTGCCACCACCGTATTGTAAATGAAATCATTGACAGAGCCATTTTTATTACATTTTCAACATGTTGATCATGGACTTATCTGGGCAAACATTTAATTTAAAATGTGTATTGTGAAATTATGTTCTCAACATTGTTAATGGGTTAGTTCAACCATAAAAAGAAAATCCTGTCATGAATTACTCACCCTTATGTTCCAAACCCATAAAACTTTAATTTATCTTTAGACAAAGATATTTCTAAAATTGTTTAATAATTGTTGTCCATCAATTAAAAGTCCATGTTAAACATAAACTCAACAGAAACAACACTGGGCAAGAAGATGATATAATTAGTGTGTGTTGTGTGTGTGTGTGTAAACTATCCTTTTAAGTGTTGAAAATAAGTAAATTAATATAAAAATTGAAAATTAAGCAAATAATTACTCACCCTGGTGTTGTTCAAGGCCATATGTTCTTTTTCAGATCACAAATTAAAGAAAAATTGACTACACATGTAATCTGAAATCTGGTTTCTGACAATTGAAATCAGAAAATGATTCTATGTGACTCGTGTCATATATTCCAAGTGTTCTGGGGGTATACAAACCGAAATGTACTGTAAATTTACACGACACGAGACTCTATAGCACCACATTTCACTCCAAATCATGCTCTGCAGCATGATAACACTGCAGCAGCAATAACTAACGTTTAAATATGAATTAGTGTTAATAAATATAATAAAGTAACACTGCAGCGGCAACAACAAAACTTTAAATGTGAATTAGTGTTAATACATTTTAAATTACGTGTTGGGCAAAATAACACTGCAGCAGCAACAGTGAAACATGAATTAGTCTTAATGATTATTAAAAATTACGTGCTGGACAAAGTAACACTGCAGCAGCAATAACTAAACTTTAAATATTAATTAGTCTTAAAGATTATTCTAAATTTCGTGCTGGACAAAGTAACAATACAGCTTAACTTTAATATGAATTATTCTTAATGCTTATTCTATCACTTATACTTATATCAAAACCTGGATCTATGCAAAAATAAAGCCACCATTGAAGTAGGCCTAACAATACAATCACTTGTACAACAAATAAATCACCCTGAGATGTACAGATTAGGCCTACAACAAGTTTATCCCCATTTAAAAGCACAAAAAGCCCGAAATTTAGGTTTTGTGCAACGGTTTTCCGAATAATGAAAAATCAAGCTGCAACACTTTAGCGCGCTAAGACGACGATGTAATTCACATGCAACAATGTTTTTACTTATAGCTTTGCATAAACTTTGCAGAAAAATTGATTTTGGATGAAACTCACCCTGTAATCGGGAATTATCCGTGTGAGGAATCCAACTTCCCTCACGATGTCGCAGTTGGTGCTTTTATCACTGCGAATACAAAAATAGTTAGGCTACTTCCAATATCCAAAATACAAGTTAGTAACAATTGCAGATGTAATGCATTTTTCTATCACAACGAGCAAAACAAAAGGGAACTCACCTATTATAAGTATGAAGATGGATGAAAAATCCATGCGTGCTCACTGCAGCTCTTCCGATGTCAAGTCAAAAATACTGTTAAGTACCGTTTTGTTTCCCTCGAGCAATAATTACGTTAAAATGCCGTTATAATTTTTCTACGTCATATTACAAACGCAAAAAAACAGCAATGTACTGCTTTTGAACAAAACAGGAATATACTGTTGAAATTTAGCCGTAAATTTACAGCAATTTCTAACAGTGTGACTAAACGGTTTTCTACTTCTTCTTTAGTAAGTTGTAAGGAACACTATATTGAGTCCAACATTTAGTTTAAATTGATAAAATTGTTCGTTTTAGTCGCATTTTCGCAGTTTCCCCTATTAAATCCAGTCACGCAGCAGATCTTTTGCCACTCAGTCAGCCTGAGGGGGGTTGTTTTGGCGGGAAAGTGAATGCATTCCTTCTATTGCCTGGTTTTAATAAATAAAAAGTAAATATAATAGAAAATAGATCATCATGACGGATGCGCCAGCACAGACTCGGAATGATAAATGAACCGAAACTCGGCGTATAATGTATACTCTTCTGAGAAATATAGACTATGCATCTTTGAAAGCAGACAGGAGTCAAAGGGCTAACCAGCCTAAGCTTATTGCTTGGGTAATTCTGCAACAGTCGGGGGTGATAGAAACTCTCGGATGTTCATGTATTGCTGGATTAGGGAGATCGTGCTGTCATGCTTCAGCTATGCTTTTGAAGTTATTAAGAAAAGAAAAAAGTTCATTTTGTTTTTATCTGTGATTTAATAAAAAATAACGTGATCAGATCACATTTGATGAAGGGTTTTTTTTTTTTCGATTTAGTTTAGCGATGTGGGGATGACACAATCTGAAACATATAACAAAAACGTATCCACAAGTTTCCGAGGGGTGCTCCTGTAAAAAATAAAGGGGGTGAAACTTCCGGTGCGGCGGCGGAAGTAGCATTCCAATGTTATTTTGTGTGTTAGTTAGCGAAGAGGCTAGCTGTTTTTCGGAGAATTATTTTACTATTTAAAGATAAATCAAATGCAAATCTTTATGAGAGATGAGCTCAGGGACAACATGTGCTGTTCGCGGTTGTATGTATAACCGGACTAAACTAAACGTGATTGTTTTGAACATAAGCTGAAAACGAAATCTGAGTGATCCTGCAGAGCCCGTCTCTGATCCTGCCAACGACTGTAGTTTCCATCACCTCCCAAAAGACGACGAATCTTCCTGTGTACATTTGTTTAAATTCTTAATATTCTATAAACTCTATCAGCATGTGATACTGTTCGCTACTGATGTTAAACCTAAACTCAGGATCAAAGCCTGTGTTGACAGAATACCAAATGTGCCAGTAATGTATTCAAGTAGCACATTCATTTATAATTTTGAATAAACTCCAAAGCACAATGACTAAGTGTATTTTTTTTTATTTTAATTGTTTGTCAGCTCGCACAACTGTCTGTCACCATGCCTTGTCTTGATGAGTATTGATTATTAATGTTATTATAATACTCCCAATGAACTACTGCGGACGGTAAAGGTACTGTTATTTCACCCTTTTGAATTTCGTTGAGGTTGTGTTCCCACATCGTTAGCTAGTTTGGATCGCTATAACTTGAATGACTGTCAACTGTTGAATGAACGAGTGTCAAGCATGTCAAATCGCACTTTGTTTACTTCCAACCGGAAGTCGCGCCCACTTTTGACGCAAGGCCTCATGGGGTGTAGGAAACTTGTGGATAGATATCCAGGTATAGACCAGATACGAACCGGAAGTTGGCAACTGGAGTTGTCGTTATGGCAGCGCGCATTGTTTAGAGCAGAATAAGGTGGATAGTTCCCGGATTTCTGAAGATCCATATTATGATTGGGTCCCGCTTTCCCTCCTCTCAGACGATTACCAGCAGAGACGGACCAATCAGCGTAACAAAGACAAACCAATCTGCGCGTCACCTGCGAAACAGAAAGTAGGCCTATGGCAGAAACACAAGGAAAATACAAAATACACAGTGGTGGTAAAAAACGTGTATTTGTTGTAACTCGCGGTCCCCGGGTAGTTTGTGTTTGAGACCCCTGCTGAGGCACAATAATATCTCACCGAGCTGTTAAATCAGTTGTCGAATGCTGCCTAAAGTCCCAAGGCTCCTTGTTTTCATTAAAGCATTCCTTAAAAACCTGGGTGAACAGAATTACATCGTCACACAATCAAATTTAGGACAGTGTATCCATCAATCATATGCATGTAAACACATTTGTTAGATACATTGCACAATTTATTTAATGTAATCACCAGAGTTAAGTGATTTGTGCAGCTTCAACACATTTTGCTTGAGAATATTTCATGTTCAGTATGTTATTGTCATTAGAACCTGCTTTAAAACAAGGGCTAATAATCAGTAGCTTTAATAATAGCTACTGTCCCTATCAAATAGCATTAAATGCATTTTATTACATTTTAAATACTATTTCTTATTCAAATTTTTTGTATATATATTTTTGTGTTTTTTCTATATATTTTTGTATAATATTTAAATATATTCATTTTACATACCAACATGTATATTACTGTATATACATGCTGTATGACACATTGCTTGGTATTCTGCCTTTTATACGTGTCTCTGGAGCATTTTATAGTGAAATATTGATGCCTAAAAGCTTCTGGCAATTAGAGAGAGGAAAAATGAATAAATAGAGAATAAAAGTGAGAAAAAAAATGTTTGCATTTGCATTTTCTCCAACCTCATAAAAATTGTTATGAGGTTGGAGCAAACTAATGGTGAGAATTAATGCCATGCAGAATCAACGGATAATCAGATCTGAATAAAAATGAAAGTGGAAACACATCCAGACAGGATGCTGCCAGCTGAACGCATTCTAGGCCCAATCGCTTCTCATGTAGTTTGGATTCTAGCAATCAGGTGTGTGTTTGCAGTCCATTCAGTGTGTGTAAATAATCTGTCAGTCTCGCCTGAATGAGCAGCAGGAGTGGCGATGCATTCATTCACTCATCACTCATGGAGCTCTCTCGCGTTTGCCATGGGCAAATCTTTCAAATGTAAGTAGGCAACACTTTAATTCTTTGATTTTTTTCCATTGTTTCACTAACACTCTATAGTACGGTAAACACGTTGACTGATATTATATTTATTTATGAAATATAAATGTATAAATATTATGTTAATGTTTATATACCATCTAAAACATTTTAATTAATCATTTATAAAGATAAAATAATTATGGAAATTGTCCACTGTTCTTGTTGGTTCATAATGCAACTTATAGTACTGTATTAATATCAATACATGTGTAGAAATTAATGAATACATAATGGTTATGGCTGTAAAGGGATTATTTGTTAGATCATGTTTTGTTAACTCTATACAATCTTATTTTAAACGGGACTGATTATGCTCCAAAAATTTTTTGGGGAGTCATGGTTTTCATGCATTATTGTTCAAAACCACATAATTTTCCCCCATATTCTCCATTGTTGCGGCTCCTCTCTTCCCAGTCTGTCAGGAATGCTCAGGTTTAGTTCCTGTCTCTATGAAGCCCCTCCTTCTGAAAAGCACAATGTGCTATGATTGGTCGGCTGGATTAGTGTGCTGTGATTGGTGAACTGATTTGAGTGTGTTTGGGAAATGTCCCGCTCTTTACCTTAACCCCGAGTTTCAACACACTACTAACTAAATCAACCAGTCCTTGCCCCTTTATTTTACGTATGTCTTGTGTGTGAATTATTCAAATGACGAATATTGTGACATGTTTGTTCCTGGAAGAAAACTCAGCGAGTTCAGAAACAGTGACACTGATATAAAGAATATACTTTGGGGACATTGTGCTTTGTAACTTGTCCCTTTTTATGAGTTGAGTAGGTGATACATTGCCTACATTGTGTTTCCCATAAATAAAAACTAAATATAGTGCTCAATGAAATAGCACCTTGGTTTTGTTATTTTGAGCCACAGGATCCACAACATAACTCAACTCAACTCAACTCAACTTTTATTTATAAAAGCACTTTCAAAACCATTAAAATGGACCAAAGTGCTGTCCACAAGCAATAAATAATACACAGAGAGATAAAATTACATCAAGACATGACACCCAGATAATCAACCCACCGATCGCTCACAGTTCTCGGACCTACTCAAATGCCAAAAGCTTGATGAAATAAATAAGTCTTCAAATCCTTTCTAAAAATGTCCGTGCTTGACGACGATTTGAGAGATAATGGCAGCACATTCCAGAGTGCAGGAGCCGCAACGGAAAAGGCGCGATCTCCACTACGCCTCAGGCGAGACCGAGGGACAGTTAGAAGCATTTTCTGCGAGGAGCGTAGATGGCGTTGAGACTGAAGCGGGCTTAACATGTCCTTTATATATTCAGGAGCTAGATCATTTAATGCTTTGAAAACAAATAATAACACCTTATATTGTATTCTGTATTTAACAGGTAGCCAGTGAAGAGATATCAATACGGGTGTTATATGATCAAATTTCTTGGTATTTGTTAAAAATCTCGCCGCAGCATTTTGAACACGCTGAAGACGGGCAACCAGTGTATCACTTATGCCTAGATAAAGAGCATTACAATAATCTAACCTGGTTAAAACGAAAGCATGTAAAACAATCTCCAAGTCCTTATATGAAAGGATTGGTTTCAGCTTGGACAATTTTCTCAAGTGAAAGAAAGAGGATTTCACAACACTGTTAACTTGACGATCAAAACGCATTTCAGAGTCTAAAAATACTCCAAGGTTCTTCACAAAACTATGGATATTGTTAAACAATAGTCCATAATTACCAGCTAGATCGTTCCCAAACTCCTTGTTCCCAAAAATTATAAACTCCGTCTTATCCTCATTTTAACTGTAGGAAATTATTTGATAACCATCCCTTTACCTCAGTCAAGCAATTATAAAAATTAGTAAAAGATGAGCAGCCATCACACTCAAGAGGAAGGTACAGTTGTAAATCGTCAGCATACAAGTGGTAATTAATATTATGCTGCTTAAAAATAGACTCCAAGGGTAGCATATATAGAGAAAATAGAGTCGGGCCAAGGATTTATCCCTGAGAAACCCCCAGGGAAGTGTCGCGGGTGCTGAGACATAGTTATCAATTTTAACAGGACATGTCCTGTCTTGCAGATAAGAGGAAAACCACTTAAGGGTAACACCCTTAATACCTACATAATCTCTGAGACGTTGTATTAAAATTACATGAT